CCCCCGACGATTCTGGGCCCATCCTGTCCTGTAACAAACCTGATGCAGTTGTTGCGGTTGCCTTGGACCTTGCGGCAGTCCTTGAACCTCACTGGTTGCTCAGCACCCGGTCTACTCTACAATGGGCGTATGGGCTGCCGAATACTGTACAGTATGCAAGCACCACCTGTGGGACTGACATGAGCGATGCTGCTGATTTGACAAGCCCCCGTCGGCGTTGCATGCGCATTCAGTCCACGTCAATATTTAGCAGACAGAATTGCTCTGGTGCCGAAGCGGCCGGCTCCTCAGCTCCCTCAGGCTGTACGTTGTGCTGGACCAGAAGTCCTCGGTTTGGTGGCCACAAGACAGCACATTCGCAGGAAGCCTTCTGGAGCATTGTCAACAAAGATAACTGTTATAGATTTTCACCTCGAGGCGGCTCCTTTTGAAATCGATCTGTTGGCGCGTACGGTAGATCTGGCCGGTAACCCGCAAAGTCGCCATCAAACCAATGAAACGCTGTCTGGTCCCCGATATAGACTCCAATGTAGACCAGGAGCAGATGCTGCGGCCAACGCCCAGCTCACGGCGGGCAAGGGCGGCCGCAGCTGCCGCCGCGCAGCACGCTGGCCTGCTCACTGTCGTTGAAACGCTGGACAAGGCGGTCCTGGTGGAGCTCGTCATGAAGCTGGCGGAGCGCAAGGACATGCGGGCGCGCGTGATGCGCTTCTTGGAGGACGCGGCCGCGAGCGGCACCGGCCCGGCCCTGCCGGACGACATGGTGGCAGCGGCGTTTGAGGAGGAGCTGGGAGCCGCTGTGGCGCAGGTGCACAAGGAGGCAGAGGCGCGCTGCTGCGGCAAAGCGCACTTGATTGATGAGGGAAGCGGCACGGTGGCGGTCGTCGCACGCTTTGTGGGTGAACGTGTGGTGTGTGTGGCGCCAGGCACGCTACAGCTGACCATGCTCCTGGCGGCGCGAAAGGCGATCGGGAACTTTGACCTTGAAGGTGCGAGCGGCGGACAGAGCCTGCTCATATATGCCTTGCCTGCTTGTCGGGCGGCATCCGAGCACCGGGCAGGGCTGGCCCGCAAGTGGAAGCATTCTCCTGCTCTAACGGCTTGCCAAGTCTGCACGAGCGTGCGGCTGGCAATCCCAAACCTGCGCCGCACGCCACTTGCGCCCAGTGCGTCTCTGGACCTTAACGCATACACCTCCCGGCCGCCCACCTCTGCAGGAAAGAATTACGACGTCAACATCCTGGGCAGCAACACCCTCACGCGGATGGACGGCATGGCTTGCGCGTGCGTGGCTGCGCTTGCGGAGCGGCGCAGCGAGGCCGCCGTGCGGGCTCTGTTGACGGACGTGGCGGAGTGCTTCACGACCGACAGCCTGAAGAGATACCAGGACTACGGCTGCTTTACTCGCGTAAAAGCGATGGGTGCAGGCGGCTGCGCCGCGGCGCTGATTGCGTGAGTAGCACCGCACACCATGTGCGCAGTGCAGGCTGCGCAGCAACAAAGTGCTGCAATCTGCTGTGCCGTGCAGCGGCCGTGTCTGCGGTGGCACAGCACGCGCTGCCCAGCACAGGCGGCTCTATCCATCCCGATTTCCATTTTTCTTTTCTGCCGCCACTTTTGCGCATTGAAGCAGCAGGGGGGCATGGCAGAGTGAAACTTGGTATCTGAATTTGACGCAGGGCTGCAATTTGCAGTGCCTTGCGAGACTATGTACATGCAGGACCAGCTCACGGCAGGCGGCGCGGCCATGATCGCTGGTGCGGTCGAAGCCAGCATCCTAGTGTCAACAGTGCTAATTCAGCGATTGGTGCCTTTTAATTCTTCCAGCCTCTTTCAGAACACTGTTTTGATTCCATATGCCGCGCGTCCTGCAAGCACTGCAAAACTCCTTCATCCCCATCCACGCCTGAAAACTCAACGCAGTGGTCAATGAGTCAAATGATACGCACAGGCAAAGCGTCATGCCCAGAAAGGGTCATCACATCATATAATAATTGACAATCGCAACCAATCATGATATATATACTGTTTCCACACAACAGAAACACATGGGAGCCTGCGCGACGTTGATTGTGGCGCGATCACTGCAGCTTGGCGTAAGGCCTCAGCCTGAGCCAGCCTGCTGCGTGGGATCTGCAGCTGTGGATCGCACCACTCGCCTGAGGCCATTTCATGCTGCGCCGTACCGTAATATCATATAGTTGATATTTCGCAATTGATGCACGCGAAGCAGCGGTCGTAGATCGATCAGATAAGCAATTGGGCTTTCAACGCCCGCACCGTCGACTTTTTTCGTTGCAAGCAATCACCAAGCCTTTCCTCAAAAGCCAGCGGTGTGGTGGGGTCGAGGCAGCCTGCGCACCAAACTACCTGCTCGAGGACAGCACGAGCAGCGCGCCAAGTGCAGTGCAGCAGCGCCCCACACTGTCGCTGCGAGTGGATCGCCGCCTCTGCCTCTGTGACGCATTGTCTGCACTGGCAGGGCCCCCCGCCTGTGCAGTGCCCCTCACCCGGGGCGGTTCGGCTCTGCGTGGCAGCAGGCAGGCCAAACCCATGGAGTGGTACAGCAGCTCAAACAATGCGCAGTACAACAGCGCCGCCTATGCGTATCAGGCGCCAAGCACAGCCTATGGCAACAGTTTTGAGGATGAACCGCCGCTGCTTGAAGGTGAGCACGGCGGCGGCGCGGCACGGATGCCATGAGGGCGCTCGCAAGGGGTGGGGCAAGGGTCCTCCAGCGGTGGCCCCTAGCAGTGTGGGAGGATGGCCCCTAGCAGTGTGGGAGGATGAGCCTGGGGCTGCGTCACGGCGACACAGCACTGCGGGGTTGGTCCGCGATATGTGATATCCCGCACTCTGGCGGCAACTGCGGTGGATTGATGTGCAGCAGCAGTTGATGTTGAATTGACATGTTCGCCAAGCTGGATTCACCCACCTCTGCACAGCTCATCAAGCCCCAAATCCCATGATCACACCGCTCACCAACACGCCCCCCTTGCCTCGTCGCACGCTCACACACCTCCTTGCTCCCCATACTCTCACGGCCCCCTTGTCAGAGCTGGGCATCGACCTTGGCGCCATCCTGCGGTCCACCAAGGCCATCCTGCTGCACCAAATGAGGTCGCCTGCACTGGAGGCCCTGGACTTTGGCGGCGCACTGATGTTCCTGCTCGCGCTGGGGGGCCTGCACCTGCTGGTGCGCTCGCCTGCAGCGACGGGTCCGTGGAGGGGGGCCGGCAGCGAGGAAGCGGAAGGCTGCGCGGCAGCGCGCCCTTGTTTTGGGGCGCAGGGTGCAGCATTGCAGCGAGCGGCTTGCCGTTCTCAGGGAGGCCCTGCATGCTGAATGACCGCTTGCCTCCACACCTCATGCTGCCCGTCACGCCTCCCCCGCGTGCACATGTCTCAGATGGGCAAGGTCCACTTTGGTGTGATCCTGGGGTGGAGTGTGGCGCAGTCTGTGATCGTGTACTTTGTGGCCAACCAGGTGGCCTCCAACGACGGCAGCTTGCCGGGCGGCCTGGACCTGTACAACTGCTGCTGCGTCACCGGCTATGGCATGGTGCCGCTCATCCTTGTCAGCGCAGCACTGCTTCTGGTGCCGAGGTGCGTGTGTGCGCACACGCGTGGTTGCTGCATCGAAGTGACGCCAGACAGGGCAGCGTTGGGATCAGAGGCAGCCGCTGCTCCCCCCCTTCCCCACCGCGCGTCTACACTCCTCACGCGCTCCTCATTGTCAACACTCGTGGTCCTGCTGTCATACACCTCGTTAACCACTCCCCGTTTTCCACCAACCCCCATCACAACCTGCCAGGGGCCCCGCCAGTGTGGCGCTGTCCGTGGCGGGCGCAGTGTGGAGTGCGGTCACCGCCTCAAAGGTTCTGGCGCGTATCTCCCCGGGGTTGCAGGACTCTCGGTCCCTGATGGTGTACCCCTGCCTCCTGATGTACGGCTCCTTTGCACTGCTGGGGGTATACTAGGCCAGCACAGCCCCGTATTAGCTTAGATACTCACCCCAGTGGCCAACGACCACGAGCTGCTGCTGTCTTGACCTGTTGAGTGCCGGATGTGACACCATTTTGAGGCACTTGTAATTTTTGTGTTACAGCGGTTTTTTTGACAGGGAGGCAAGCATTGCCAAAGTGCCAGCAGGCTTGCATCGAGGCAGCCGCACAGCCTACATGAAGTGGCATGCAAACACTTGATGAGCCGCGCCACTGTGGCGGCTGCAGATTGAACCAGTACAGATCATCAGGTTGTCAAAATACGTGTGTCAGTGCACTCCTGACCACCGTCTGCAGAGTGCGGCCATCAGGTTGGTGAGTTAGCAGGCAGCGCCAGGTCGGTCATAATGCTTTGCTCTGGAGCGCTGTGCTGTCAATCGCGCGTGTAGCCAAGCGCAGGAGGGAATCCCTTGGGGTGCCGTTGAAAGCAAGCATGAGAGCGCAACGGCTCAGTATCTCTTGTTCGACGTCACACGTGCGCGCGCGCGCGTGTGTGAGTGTTTGTGCATGTGCACGCGTGTGTGCGCGTGCTTGCGCGCAAGCGTGTGGGGACACGCGTGTGCTCGTGCGCATTTGCACAGAATTTTCCATCTAGCGCTCTCCTATGGAATGCAGAAATCCAGCAGAAACAAAGTGAAACCGATATGTGACAATCTCCGAGCATGTTGCATGTGAACTGGCGCTGGCTAGCCGCCATGCGCACAAGCAGGCCACTTCGATGTACTCGCCGACCTGAGTCAGCTGTGCAGCAGCGTGGTGCAGGCGATTCCACAACCATAACAAAGGAGTGTTGAAGTTTGAATTTGAGCCATAATGGGGTGTCGAGAGGTTGTGGCCCCTCCACACTGTTCCAGATGAAGAATGAGGCCAAGCAGTCACCCTGAAGCCACTTGATGTTGCGTCCCTGGCTGCAAACTCCATGCTGGTGTGTCCGTCCCTCCCGTCCTTGGAGAAGCTCTACTCTGATACGAAAGGGCAGCCCTGGCGCGCCGAGTGCCGATCGCACCCGTGTAGCAGGGGCCGCCCGCAAGAAGTGCGCTGCCGCGCGCATGACGGCCACGCCCTTGCCGCCACTGCCGCCTCATGCCCAGCTGGCCGTGCAACTGCTGCCTCTGCTGCTGCAAGTGCGCAAGCATCCTGCACTGCGGTCCCAGCCACAGCGCCTCACACTGCAAAGTCCTGACATGGCAGCTACCAGTCATGTGATGTGTTGGACGCCAGAGCTGCCTCGAGCCGGGCAGATGTACGCGCAGGGCAGTCGCATTTGACCCTCCGTCCATCCTCATCCAAAGGCTGCTGCTGCTGCTGGTGGTGCTGGTGCTGGTGCTGCTGCTACTGCAGCTGCGTGCCGCCTTCGATGGTACCATCTGGTGGAGGCAGGTCATCAGCTGCGTCAGTGTTGCAGCCTGCCGCCCAGGAAGTGCGACCTGCATGTCTGCGCTCTTGCAGCCAGGGCTGCAGCGGCGGTTTGGTAACGGCGGAGGCCTTGGCACGCCCCTTGCCATGCTGGAGACGTTCGCCAGGGTCAGAGTAGAGGTGGTCGTCAGCCTCCCACCGTGCGCGCTCCTCTGAGCTCAAGCCGAACGGGTTGCCGCCGCCGCCACCGCCGCGTTGTCGCCCGCCTCTCACGCCCTCCACCTTCGCCGCAGATACCGGGTTTGAAGGGGCCCGTTCTCCCGCCTGCCGTTTTGCAGCTTCGCGCGCCGCGCGTCCCATCTTCGCGCCGCCGCTGCTGATGCGCGCCAGCTCCTCCATCTGTGCCTCCAGCTGGCGCTGCGCGTCCGCCCTGTCGGCCTCCAGCTCCGCGGCGCCAGAGGGGCCCACAGCGCGGAAGGCCCTGGTCGCGCTGTCTACTGTGGCGCGGCTGGCCTGAGGGTGGTGGGCACGTGCACGGTTTGCGATGGGGGGTTAATTTCAAGGTCAGCACCTCAGCAGCGCATGTTTCCCTTCTAGTCTGTTACGGTGATTTGCAGGGCTGGGCTGGGAATGGCTACAGGGCCGAGGACGACCACGCTGCGACAAGGTGCTACCGTCAGCAGCACAGAGCATGTGGGGCATCCTGCACTCGAGGTCCCTCCCTCCCGCTGCGTGCAATGCCCCCTTGTTCCCACCTTGGGTGCGTCCCTGCAACTCCGCGCCGCGTCCCACACGCGGCCGTCCCCCGCCTCCAGCAGGTCTTCCAAGCCGCTTGACCGCACAAAAGCGCGGAACCGCGTCAACGCCTCGTCCTCAGCCCCACCCCGCCGCGTGCCGCCGCCCAAGCCGCTGCCCAACGCCGCTGCCCTCGGGCCTTCAGCGCGCCGCCACGTGCCTCCGCTGTCGTGCACCCAGGAAGCGGCCGGCTCGCCGCCCTGCTCGCCCTCCTCGCCGCCTTGGTTCTCCCTTCCATGGCTCTTGTCGCCTCGGCTGTGCTGGCCCTCACCTGCCACCCAAGGCCGCGTGTTGCCGCCTGGCAGCACCAACCCCGCAAGCTCGGTTGTATCCACCAGCGCTGTGCGGCTCTGACGTGTGTCCCGTGTCGGTTCGGACGCGCTCAGCGCGCCGCGGATGCGCTGCAAGGCGCCAATCAAGTGCGCGGCAAGGACAGCTTGCTGATTGGCTGTTGAGCGGAGGGGAAGGGAAGAAGGGAAGCAGGGAAGGCGACATGTTTGCACACAGTCTGCAAACAGGTGGATTGCAACTCACACACTACGTACACCTGCCGGCCTGCTCACGTTGCGCACGCCTGCAAGGTCTTCAGCACGCCTCTGTTGCTCCGCCTGGCGGCACGCACTCTGCGCTGCAGCCGCCACGCCCAGGGCACCGCAACGCTGCAGCAACATCACGCCCAGCAGCATCACGCCCGCACCGGCTGGCAACATCACGCCAGTGCGGGGCGCCTAGAAGGGGCAGGAGGTGGTCACGGACGCTGGGCAGCAGCACCAACAGCAGCCGCCACCACAGCAGCAGCAGCAACAACAACAGCAACATCAACAGTGGTAAAGTCAGCAACAGAAGCAACAGCATCAACAGCAGCAATAACAACAGCATCAACAGCAGCAACCGCACCACCAGACCACCAAGCCGCAGCCTGACTCACCGCTACCAGGGAACCGCACAGTTGCATTGGCTTCTGCAAAATTTGCAGCCCACGGCTCAAAACTCCTGCACCATCCACGGCGTGTGCCGCAGGGCACTGCGCCTCCCTGGAGGCCTCTGCAGGGCGAATGTGCAGCCTCCTAGATGCAGCGCCCGCCGCGGTGTCCGGAGGCCCGCCCACCGAGTGCAGCGGCGTCAGTGCATCGACATCATACGGCTCTGCCATCTCGCCATCGCTGCCCCTGCTGCTGCCGCAAGCTTGCTGCTGCTCTTGGACGACTGCTGCCGTGGAGAGCAGTGGGGCTGTGCTGATGTCGTGCGGCGTGGCCGCAGGAGCAGCTGCATCAGCGCTCTGCTGCCGCACCTTGGCCGCACCCCCATACAGCGCGGTGCTGAGATCGGCCATGCGGCCGTGCAGCTGCTGTGAGGGATGATTGTCGGTAGCCGCAGCACTGCAGGTCAAAGCCTGCCGAGGCGCGAGCACGTGCCATCCTACGCCCCAGGCCGTGCCAGCCATGAACAGGACCAGGTGCAGGTGCTGCCGCGCGAGGTGCAGGGCAGGGCCACCGGCTGCATGAGGGGTGTGGGCTTCGCTGCAAAGGGGACGGACCACCACCTGCGCAGCTGCCGCGCGCCGCATATTCATCATCCGCCCCAGCCAGCCAACTGGTCCCTGCCTCGCAGGCAACCGCGGCCCTGCAGGGTCCACGGGTGCGCCCGTCTTGCCGCCGCTGTCAACATCGACCTTGCCTGGTGACGTTACTTGCGAGCTGCCCCACACCGCGCAGCGATTGGTATCGCAGTCAACCTGCTCGCTGCTTTTCCAAGCTGTCGACGCACCGCTCCAGGTCAGGCGCTGCTGCTGTTCCGGTCCATTCTGCTGGTGTGGGCCCTGCTGCTGCTTCTGCTGGTGCCCCGCTGATGCGTGGTTGCCGTCAGCAATTGTCCGCAATAAATCCGGCTGTGGTGCAGGCTGTGCCGTTCCCCGCGATGAGGGTGGCAGCGACCTGGTGGTGCGCTTGTGATGCGGGAAGTAGACGCCACGGCTGTACGAGGCCGCCACCTGAGAGATGTCAACAAAGGTTTGGTGTTGACTGCGTGCAGTGAGGGAGGGGCCGTACTGCAGTACGGATTAGTAGACACGCATCCATATGAGGGCATCGGTGAGTCTGCACTCATGCACTCGCCCACCCACGCATCGACAGATGCACCCAAACATGAACCCAAGCTTGTTGGCATGTGTGCACAAAAACGAGTCTCATGTACCCACCCTGACAACACGCCGTGAGCGGCCCCAGTAGCACGGGCGGCTTGACCCTGGCAGCTGTGTCCAGGGGGAGAAGACGGATGCGCCCATCGCAGTGAGTTGCAGTCAACGGCAGCCGCTGCACAACTGTTGTTGTCGTGAGCCGGGGCGTGGCCCCCTCTCGCTTGGGTGATAAGTTTTAACTTGTTAATTCGCTGAGTTTATGGTATAGATGTCCGGTTGGGTTGCTGTGAGCCCCGCGGCGCGTTGCTACGTGATCCAGGACCTGAGATGGATTCCAGGATGGTCGAATACAGTACCAAACATATCTATAGCAGACCTCCAGCTCACCACTCATCGCTGATACCCTAGCATTGCCCACCACAGGCCGAGCCAAGCTCACTTCCTGCACCTGTCAGGGAGCTGTTGGTGTGAACGAGTGGACCCAAGTCGGTCACCCAGCTGCCACCATCATTCGCACACTACATTTATTGAGCCCATTTGGTTGCGTACCTGTAGGAGGGCAGAGGGCCTTGCCACTGCAACACCTGACCATCCTGGAACCCACCATGAAATGACCTGTCACCAACTGAGGCCTTGTGATCCGTTTTCTGCTCTCTGGCTCCGAGGGGCTGCGACAACACTGTTCCTGGGCCTGTTCAAGCCCGAAGCAGGGATAACGCAAGGTGCCATCAAACCGTGTCCGACGTGTACTGCATTCCCGCAGGCACGTCAACTGTGACTGCTGGGGTTGCGGGGGGGAGGGAGAGAGCTCAGCGCTGCAGGAAGAAATTCGGGTTACACGAACTCAACACGATCACGGCTCAGCAAAACTCAGGGTGAGCACACATCCTATGGTCAGTGGGCAAAGGCACGCACAGTGATCAGTGACGTGAGCGTGCAGCGCGGCTGCCCTAACGTGGGCCCTGGCGCCGCAACGTCAAAGTACACGGCACACCCCATGCCCCACAGCCGTCCTGTGTGTGAATATGATATGGTTGTTTTAGGTGTTGAATGTGGCTGTGCCAGAGGGAGCATGCGCAACACGTCAGCACTGCAACTGCGGTGTGTAAATCGCTGCATTTGTGCATGCAAGCGGACGGCCGCACGCACCACGCACCACCCCTGCCCACGCCTTGGCGCTCGGCAGGCGGGCGGGCGGCGCGTGGGCACGCAGGCCCGTGACAGCCGTGTGGTTGATGAAGAGTGACCTGGCGGCGCGCACATTTCGGCGGCGGCCCCGCCTGGCCCGCAAGGAAGAGGCAAGCCCCCGGCCGACACAAAGCGCCACGGAAGCCGGCGCCGCAGGGGGCGCAGGGCAACGCGTGCCACCTGGCGGGGAAAGTACACAACAGATCCGCTACAGAAGCATCGCCTCAGCAACGGCGTCAATTTTCAGGCACAAACAGGCTGAGAGGAAATCAAGAACCAAGGGTAAAATCCTCCACAGAGCACCGCATCCACACCCAAACCCTGCCACGGGGGCGGGGTGGTGAGCGTAGAATGTTCATCCCACTTGTAAGCACCCGTCCTGAGCGCTACAGGCGAGTTGCGGCCGCGAGGCGTCGTACTGCTGTGCGGCACACCGCCTTGGCAGTGTCCAGCATGGCAGGGCCGCGGCAGGCCGCGCAAATGTTGCCTGATGCGGGTGCGCGTCACACTCTTTCTTGTCCTGCCTGGCATGCGGAAATTGGGCAACGCCCATGCTGCGTGACTAGTGCATACAAGGGGGCCAATGCAAAGCTGTGGCCGGGCCGGCGCCTTGTTTCCAGCGCGTTGTGTTCGGACAGAGACAGCCAACAACGCAAAGCAGGCGTCAGCTTGACTCAGGCCTCCTTTCATTGTGCTTGTAGGTGCAGGGGTGGCGTGCCCAGGAAAACACACGACGCATGCGGACACAGAAACGAGTGGCCGCAGCACAGGGGGGCCGCGCCGCATGGGACAACATCAGGCACAGCGCACAGCGCACGCACAGGCTGGTACCAAGTTGCTTCGCACACCGCAAAGGAGCCAGGCCGATAGAATGGGACGCTCACAAACACACGCGGGAGGGCGGCAGCGGGCACGCCGCGCCAGTGCGCGCCCCTCGTGTATGTGCGGTGGCGCCCCGCTGTAGCAGCGGCTCCACCCCCCGGCCAGCGCAATCCTGTCACTACCGTTGGTTTTTTTCTTCCGGTTCGCGGGACTTCGCCCAAAAAGGGAGGGCGCGCAGCACCTCACAAGAGGGCTGCAGGCACGAGAGCTTGTACACATGGACAGAAGCCCATGCCTGCCCCAAGCGAGCCAACCAGGACGACAGGCCCCGGTAAAGCCCCCAGACCCCTGCAAATAGCCCCCTGCGTGCCCAGGTACAGATCAGCACCAAGAGCAAAGTGCACCGCCACAGCGCCTGAATGCCAGGCCAGCTGCCGTGGCTATGCGTGCTTTGCCCCCAACAACCCAAGACCTCCCTGGCCCAACTGCCAGTGCGGTGTGCGCCAGGGCCGTGTCCATGGAAAAGGAGCCAGGCACAGCCTCTGCGCCTCACTCCCCCTTGCCCTCAACGCCAGCGCCGGGCCAGCGCAGCCCCAGCCGCGCGAGCGCGCCGCCCACTGCCCCCTTCACACCGCCCCTGATGCGCGTCTCCCAGTCAAACGGCGCATCCAGCCCCGGCGCATCGAAGTCCTCCGCAGAGTTGCTGCCCGCAAACCCGTACACCGCGGCGCCTGTCGTCAGGAAGAAGGCGGTCGGCAGGAACAGCGCCGCCGCCCAGCTGCCAGTTGCGTCAAACAGCATGCCGGTCGCGGCGACGCCGATGATGCCAGGCACCGCGCCCGACGTGTTGGTGAGACCGAGGAGGGCGGAGCTGTACTTGGTGGAGAGGTCCTGGTGGGTGCAGTAGAGCCCCGCGAGGCTGAAGCTGGACACGCCCAGCGCCGCAGTGATGAGCGCCACGCTGGCTGCAGGCGGGAGGTCGTCCGCGCCCGCCGCGGCCGCCAGCAGGCAGACCGTGGGGACCATGAACGCGATGGTCTGCGCGGCCTTGCGGGTCACGGCGACGGGGACGCCGCGAGAGATGAGGGCGTCGGAGGCGGGGCCGGCGACGGCCGAGGCGGCGATGCCGGCGAGAGGCGGGAGGAGGGCGGTCTGTGCGGCGTGCATGAGGTCGACGCTGAGGGTGTCGACAAAGTAGGTGGGCAGCCAAGCCATCATGGTGTAGTGGAACCAGTTGTTGCTGGGGGGAGGGACAAGTG